CGTGGGCCCCCGCTGACCGGCCGCCCGGCGCCGCCCGCAGCCCAAGCCGCAGCACGCCATCACCGTGGCCGTGTCGTCGCGGGCCCTCTTCGACCTGGTGGAGGAGCGGCGCATCTACGAGGAGCAGGGCGTGGAGCGCTACGTGCGCTACCAGCAGGACAACGAGAACGTCACCCTCAAGCCCGGGCCCGCCTTCAACTTCGTCAAGGTACCGCCCGCCCCAGCTCCGGGGGCCTCTCCCGGCGCCCGGGGGGGCCTCCTGACGCCCTTGGGGCCCTCCTGAGACCAGAGATCCCTCCTGACACCCGGGGCCCCTCCCAAGATCCTGGCAGTCCTGCTTAGATGCTGCTGCCCCTTCTGAGATGGGAGATCCCTCCTGAGGCAGCCGTGTCCCTCCTGAGCACAGGGCAGTGGCTGGGCAACAGCTTCCCCGCCCGTGTTGGGAGGTCTGGATGTACTGGATCCGTAGGAAAGGCATATGAGGAGATTCCAGCAAAGCCCCGTTTCACCTGCAGGCACCAAAAGGAAAGTGTCTCCAGGTCGGCATTCAGATCCCGCGGGCCAGTTGCCAGACCCTGTTGTGTAGGACTGCCAGGAGCAGCATCCCTGCCTTAGGCCCTGGTCCAGACCTTTCTGACCTCAGGCAGGTTGGTGCTGCCTGGAGAAGAGGCTCGGCCTCCTTGCTTTCATTTCCTACTCGAAAGCAACTAGATTTGTTCCCCACCCCTTTCTGGGAAATGAGGTCAGGCGGCAGATACAGCGTAGCCCTGATCAAGGAAGTTAAGCTGCGGTTTGGCTCCAGACCAGATGGGATGGACATAGAGACGGGCCCCTGCTCCCCGTTGCATATATTACACAACAAACTGGTGAATTGTGCAGTATGTTTAGACTGACCTCAGGTGCAAAAGTAAGACCAGTAAAGCAGGGCCAGCGCATAGCACTGATCACACAATGAACTGGTGAATCACGCAGTAAATGTACTTGGCCACATGTGCAAAGTAATTATCACATGATAAAAATGACTCTTCAGCTATAAAAAGAGCCAACCAGCTATGAAGTTAGTGCTTGAAAATATGTAACAACTCTATAGCTCGTTTCTATCTAGCTTTAATTTTAATATACAGCAGCCCCCTAAGCAGAGTCATGGGTCAGGTCCCCTCTACAGGTTACATGCATTATGCAATTAACTGGTTAATTGTGCAGTGAATTTAAATTGGCTGGACATGCAGTCATACCATGAAAGGGTCCATCTAGCTATAAAGTTAGAACTGGAAAATATGCAATAACTTTCTACCTTGTTTTTGTCCAGCTTTCATTTGCCCACGTAGCAGGGTCTCCCCCCACAGCTGGCTGCTCTGTTAGCTAATGGGGCTCCCAGCTGCAGGGGTGCACCCTGCACAGCCAGGGCAGGGAATCCCATGGCTGAGAGGACTCTCAGCCCCAGGAGCACCCCACAGCTGCCAGGACGGGGACTCTCCATCCTGGCAGCTTGGACACTGTAGGGGCCAAGAGTCCTGTCAGCTACGGGACTTGCAGCTGTGGGAACTTGCTACTTGCCAGTGTAGGGGGAGCCCAGGATGGTGATCCCAGGTTTTCCCTGCACCACATGATAGGATCTGATGATGGATCCCACGATCATGCCTTCCTGCCTTGCCCATGTGGCATGGCAGGAGATACAGTTGTGTGGGTCGTGTATCACATCCTATCATGCCTTTCCCTGAATGTCTAGAGGGGCCCAGAGAGAATCGGTTCTTGCAAGGCAGTGGTTCCCAGCCTTTTTTAGATTGGAGGCAACCCTCCTTGGGAAAGGAAGCCCTGCTAGGAAAATGATGGCTCGCTTTTTTCACTGGTGTTTCCACAACAGAAAAAAACAAAAGCAGGGGTGCTAAACCTCTGGCCAAATCTGGCTTGTGGAGCCACAGCATCTGGCCTGCTTGGATCCCGCACAGGTTGGAAAACTTGGCAGCAAGTGGTGGTGGAAGCTCCATGTGGCCAGTCCATCCTCACCTGCCATTTCCCACATCCAGATCGGGACTAGGCTGCCCCCTCCCCTTCCCTACACACACATCCAGAGCGGGAATGGACTCCTACCTTGCCATGTATCTGGAATGGGGCCCCTCCCCATGCTGCTGGATCTGGGCTAGGCAACCCCCCCACCCTGCCCTCCAAATCAGGATTGGGACCAAGCACCACTCTGCCTTGTCCTGCCCAGAGCATCTGGATCAAGGTCATTTTACCCTCCCCTCCCCTCTGGCCCCCATATCTGGATTGAGCCACTCCTCCTTGCCCATGGATCAAGGGCTGTACAAACCCTCTCAGCTGGGTGAGGTCCATTGGCTGGATCTGGCCCGTGGAGGGACATGGCACCACCCATCTGGCCTGCCAGCCAAAAATTTGGGGCACCGCTGTAACTAGAGCAATTCTGTCGCAGAGAATGCCGGAAGCCCACAGCCAGACAAGGATTTTGACACAACAGCTTCCTATTTGAAATCTCTGCCTTGTTCTTGTGTATCAGGTTTGCCCACTTAATGGTGCATAGCACTTCACAACACCCTTGAAAGGATCTTAAGGCACCCCAGGGTGTCAGAGCTCCCTGGTGGAGAATCACTGCTCTAAGGTCATTGCGTCATTCTTGGATCATTTAGATCCCAAATCGTAAGGTTGTAACTGCTTGATGCCCACTGCTTCATTGGGAGTTCATCTGAGTAAAGACATCAGATGTTGATTCAGTAGTGGCAAAATTACTTGCCTAGTATAGACATTTTTTTTTTCGTGTTGGTTGCCCACAAATTTTGCCAATCTTTAGTGGCAACGCAAATATTTTTCCTGCTGCAGTGAAAACTGGGAAGAGATATAGACTGTGGTTTCAATTCAGGATTCAGTAAACAAGGGTGAGGAGGTCTACTGTGTTTTTGTTGAGAGAGATGAGAGATGTGCAAGTTAACCACTGGGATGATGGAGGCTAAATTATGATTTTGCTGTTTGGGATTTTTATAAGTGTTTGAAGAAACACAGACTTCACTGGGGATATGCAAGTGCAAAAGAGGAGAGGATTTGATCTGAAATATCTATTTTATTTACTTGGGAAACTGCCATGGCATAAAACCCACCCAACTAATTTTTGAGAAGAACTGTTGGATTTTTTATTATTAAATAGACTGGCCGATAGGAAGAATATGTGACATTGCATTGCCAGGAGCATTTAAAAGAGACTCTTTTAACTTTCACTGTCATGTGTATAGACTCAGGAAAACAGCGAGTAGCTAAAACATTTTTGCCATGCATGGGGTCCTAAGGAAACAACAGCCGTGGTATAGATGAGCAGACTTTTGTATGTGCAGCAGGGAGGACAGATACTGGCAACACTAACAGCACCCAGCCATATAGGAGGTTGAGCCTCCTGCCCCTCCTGATCTATTTGTCCTCATCTCTTGACCATCTCATTGTTGCCTCTCTTCTGATGGAATCATCTGACTTTTCTTTTCAGCCTGGGTCCTTGGGCTTGTCTCCCTTATGCATCAACTTTGATTATCTCAGTAGGTCATTTGTAATGTTCAGAACCTGCCATTTCTTTTTTCTGTTGAGCTGTGACAGCAGTATCTGGTCCAGAGGGTGAACAAGCAAGAACTCTGGCCAGGGAGGTGCATGCTGCCAGACAGGAACAAGCTTTCACTTCCAGTGTTGTTGGTGCTTGTGTTTACATTGTCAATGGAGAAACCCACACCCAAAAAACCCTTCAGGTATAAACAGCATTGGGAGTAGAGAACAGACTTCCTCACAGGGTCCTCCTCCTGCTTGAAACTCCTTCCCAGCAGGGATGACTGTATTGTTTGGAAAACAGTTCCCGTTATAGTACTCCTGCAGTCAGGAAAGGCCTATTGGAAGACATGATCTAGAAGTCCTAACAGGCAGAAGTGTGTATCTATGTTTGAAGAGAGGAAAAAAATCATGGGGGATTATTAGTAGCAAACCTTGAGACGTCTGACTTTCCATTTAGAAGAATAAAGCCCAAATGTCTACTATGTTCACAAAGGGTCTGTAGCTCACTGTCCCTTATGGGACATCAGCCTGTTCTTTTCACTGTCAAAACTCTCTTGAAATCACACTTTCCCATGGCACATGTTGGTGCAGGACTATCAGACACAGAAGGGTGGAGCTGGCATACAACAGTTGGTGATAAACTTATTTTCAGATCATGCTGTGCACTGCAGACTGAAGTCCCCTCATTTGAATCGCCATTAGGCCAGATTTGCCCTCCACAACAGTGCCACTACTTAACCTGTTTTAAGTAATGGCAGCATGTCAGTTATACATTTGGCATTAAATAATCATTGTCTAAGATGCATAAATAGTACACAGAAAGTCAGATTTTTTGCTTGTTCATTTGGCTTCATGACTTTTCCCTCCTGGGCATCTAGCAGGCCAGCTTCAGTAGGATGTGGTGAAAGTGGTTTCAGCTGCAGTTTGGTGATTGGGACATAGGAGCTGTGGTTTCAAAACTTGGCATCCAGGCAAGCCCAGAACCCAGATCTCTCATGTCCTGAATAATTGTTCTAATTACTGAATTATAGTGGAGGAACTTTATACCAATTAGGTAGATGCAGTTCTCTGCATTGATGTCTTGCAGATTGGGTCATAGATGTCTTAGGAGGAAGTAGAATTGCAAAAGGTAAACATATTTTAGCACATATTAAAACTTCCCATTGAAATGAATGTAGGATTGCACTTTTTCTGGCAACAGAGGAACTGTCCCAGTGATGTTGTAAGTGCTGTTCATAAAACTGAATGGGAGAGCTGTGCAATTCTGCAAGATGAAATAGCATGCACTCTGGAGAACCCACTAGTCTCCCTTTGAAAACATCTGAGCAGTTAAAACAGGCAGCTGTGCTTGTGCCTAGTCACTTTAGCCTGGAAAAAAAGAGAGAAGATAGTGGTGTGTTAGTTGCCACTAGAGAAGTCCTGTAGAGATGGGTCAGTAACTTGTTCGTTTATTAGCTGAAGCCAGGGCAGGATAGCACCTTATCCAGTAACTGGTTTAGAGTGGCATAAGAAAGTCAGTGATAATCTACTCATTTGGTCTCTTGCCTACGAAAGCCAGTTATTCTCTAACGTGTCTCTCTCAGCCAGTTATTCTTTAACGTGCCACCTTGCCCTGCCTTCTGCATGACTTCAGACTTACAAAACTAACTTCCTCTCTTTGTTCATTTAGTCTAACTGATCATAGGTGTCCCAGGTAAGAGAACCTCATTTCAAAGGTACAGAATTTAACTTAACATTTTTTTGTTTGCTTCCCTGATAAGAAGTTCAACTAAGTAGCAGCTGGGAGTTCAAGAAAAGGAATGAATAAAACAAGTTTAGCAAGGTAAACCTGTATACATTTTAAACCTGTATTCTCCTTCTAGGCAGGACCTGTAAGTATAAATAAAACCACCCTGATTAAGAAAGAATGTATATGCAGCTTATTTATATCCATATTTCTTACCCACAGGCACTGGAACATGTCAATGCTCGACTTCGTGAACTGTACCCTGATGATGAGGAACTATTTGATATCGTTCTGATGACTAATAACCATGCCCAAGTGGGAGTGAGACTCATAAACAGCATCAATCACTATGGTAAGTAGAATAAATAACATTTTGTGGAGCTGCCTGCTGCCCTGGTGTAAAGTGAAACATTTTTTGGTTTGCTCTGACCCTGATATAAGGCACTTTTTTTGATAGTGACACCCATTCCTAAAGGGAAGAATGTTTATTTGTGTGTGTCAGTATAAATGAGAGTGGGTTATGCAGGATTGATCCAAAGCTCCAGATATTCCTTGTCAAGAGTGAATCTCAGATTCTGTGGCAAGGCCCTTGAACATTTCTTTGTTTTGTATTTTATCCTCTAAGCAAATGGAAAAAATCCTTAAGTTTAGTGTTGGCTGGAAGATAAGATTTTGTTGATAGGACTGAAATGCCTAAGTCACTGTCAGCTCATAAAATCAGAAGTCTACAGAAGGCTATTGAGGAGATCCTCAGCTGCTTATCTGACCCCAGATCTGGCCTTAGGGAAAATGGCTCCCTGGGAGAACTTGTATTTTGCCAGTGTACCCTGCCCCCAAGTCACGGCGATGTCAGGGCCAGGAGGGTGTCAGGGTGTATGTAGAGGAGGGTGTGCGTGCATGAGGGTCACATAGGTGCCAGCAGCTATGGGTGGCAGGGAACCCTATGGGCTATTGCAAGGCAGTGCATGTGTCCGTTCATCAGAGATGTTGGCCTGGTGCCAGGCAGTGGGGGCTTGGCAGGGGGCAGCAGGAAGGGCAGGCAGGTAAGCAGCAGGCAAGACTACCTTCACAAGTAGCCCAGCACCAGCTGCAGGGCACCACTGCCCAGCTCCCCCTGCTTCTTCACCCTCAGCAGTGGTGGCAGTGGCTGGGGACACTGCAACTCGGCCTTCAGCTCCAGCAGGTTAGTGATGGCAGTCTTTAATGTGCATGCTAGGGTTGCTCAGCCGCACCACCTTCTCACTTGGCACCGGTGCCTTGCCCTTGGCTCGGCCCTTGGCACTGTCCTCCCAGGCCCTCATGCTGCCTGGCACTGCCTGCCACCACCACCTGGGACCTTTTTATCCCACTGCCTCTCGCTAGCTGGCTCCAGTCAGCTCTGGGCATGGTCTGGGGGCTGGGGACAGGTCCCGCTGCCCAGCACCCCAGAATTAGTTGCCACCAAAGTGTCCCAACAGCTCCCACCTGGCATGAGCAGCAGAGCAGGGGTATGTGTATGGTGTCTCCCCGAACCATGGCACCCTGGGCAGTTACCAACAATGCCCACCCATTAGGCCAGCTCTGTCTGGCCCACTCTGCCTTTCTAA